TGTAAAACTAATTCAGCGATCCGCTGGATTGTAAAAGGAGGACTATTCCTGAAAAATTCCAAGCGCTTCTTTATTTCGTCAATGTCGTCGCGCGATGCCAGTTTTTGTGTCAGAACGTTCACAATAGAGACCCATTCATCGTTAGACATATCTCCTGTATCTTTAGATTTACATAGAATCGTTTTAAACTCGTCTTCAGTCATTATAGCGCCATCGATGTGTGCTAAATGTGATTAGAAATGTGTATTTACCTATGTGGATGTGCCAATAAGAGACTACTACTAACGGTGCATTAAAGTTTCCCTTTTAGTACCATGACTGTGACGCTATAAAAGGCCAGCTTAACAAAGCGACTATAAGTGTTTACAACACAAAAGAAACTGAGCAAAAAAGGGCTAGCGTACTGTTTTGTCTTAAATAATGACTGTGTCTAATAATCCCGTTGTTGTTTCGCTGCAGGATCTTAAATCAGGACTAATGGACGATACTCTTGATCGCGCTTTTGGCCCTGATTCGCTAGGAATCATTCTAGTTAAAGATCTCCCACAAGAGTTCCATGAACTGCGTCAAAAAGTGCTCTGTGCTGCAGGCAAAGTAGCCAATTACAAGGATAAGACATCACTTGAGGCACCTGATGCAAATTACCTGATCGGCTGGTCTTGCGGAGTAGAGAGATTGGCGTCAGGCAATCCTGATGTCCACAAGGGCTCGTTCTACATAAACTGTGGAGTGCCTGTTGTCAGCAGCGACTTTACCGATCTCGGATACGGCTTGCCCAATTTGTGGCCGGATATTCCTAGTTTCAAGGACGATTTTGACAACCTTTTTCGGTGCATTTCTATGGTCACCGAGCTAGTAGCCAAAGCCTGCGACAGATACATAGCTAAACAGGTGCCTGGGTACCCTTCGCGCTTCGTTGAAGATCTAGTGAAGAATTCAAATACTACTAAAGCGCGTCTGTTGCATTACTTCCCTCTATCGGAGAAAGAAGTCTTACAGAACGCTGCAGACAATGATTCATGGTGCGGTGAGCATTTGGATCACGACTGTTTGACTGCCCTTACCAGTGCCATGTTCCGACCTAGTCCAGATGATTTCTTGAACCCCGCAAACGAAATCGACAATCCAGAACCTGAATCAGGCTTATTTATAAAGTCTAGAACTGGTGAACTAGTTAAAGTTTCTATTCCTCGTGACATGCTTGCTTTCCAGTCCGGCGAGGCTATACAGGAGATCACTAAAGGCCGCTTTAAAGCAGTACCGCACCTCGTTCGCGCCCCGACTCAGACCGCCAACGTTTCGCGCAGCACTATTGCCTTCTTCTTTGAGCCTGATTTGCAAACCCGCGTTAACGATAAAGAGGACTTTGCCGCTTTTTCGAGACGCATAGTTGCGCAAACCACACCGAAAGCCAACCCGTGAACAAGGCCGCTAACCTTAAACTCAGCTGCGTCTCGGGTGACTTACACTAATCTTCATTAAACAACCATAATGTTCAGGTCTCGCATCTCCAAGCGTAGGATTAATATAGGCCTAATGCGATGGAATTCAACACTCTTAGATCATAGACAAATAGCTACGAAACAGCAATTGTTCACCACGCATCCTATGAGCCCCGGATCTCCGCTATTCCTTCCTCACGGCACCCGGATCTTCAACACATTGCTTGCATATATGAGGAAAGTCCAAAGGAAGTATGGTTACGACGAAGTAGTCTCGCCGATACTATATAAGAAAGACCTATGGGTCCAGTCGGGCCACTGGGATAATTTTAGAGACGAAATGTTCCACACTGGCGAGTTTAGTCTCAAACCCATGAACTGTCCCGGCCATTGTCTCATATACCAGTCGCTTGACCGTTCGTACAGAGAATTGCCTATAAAATTGTCAGACTTTAGTCCACTGCATAGAAATGAAGCCACTGGTGGTCTGTCAGGTCTCACTAGAGTGAGAAGGTTCCATCAGGACGATGGACACATCTTTTGCATGCGCGATCAGATCGAGCAGCAGATCTCAGAGTCCCTTAACATGATGGTTCAAGTCTACAACAAGTTCGGCTTTACCGACTACAAACTTATGCTTTCGACTAGACCCGAGAAATACATAGGTGATATAGAGTCCTGGGACAAGGCCGAGCAGGCGCTCACCAATGCTCTGAATGAAATGAACCATCCATGGACAATAAACGAAGCTGACGGCGCCTTTTACGGTCCAAAGATAGATGTTATGCTGGTGGATGCGCATGGGAAAAGCCATCAAACTGCCACTTTGCAGCTTGATTTCCAGCTGCCACAGCGGTTCGAGCTAGAGTACCGAGGTGCGGCACAGTCTCTTGAAAGGCCAGTAATGATCCACCGGGCAGTGTTCGGTTCAGTTGAGAGGTTCATGGCATTGCTTATAGAGAACTACCAAGGCAACTGGCCATTTTGGCTGAGTCCGCGACAGTTGGCTATACTTCCTGTATCTGAATTACAGGTTTCTTACGCGAACTCCATCAAGGACTACATTGCCGCCAACGATTTCTTTGTCGATATCGACGACAGCGCAGAGAGTGTGAGTCGAAGAGTAAGACATGCAATTTCTATGGGATATAATTATATTGCTGTGGTAGGCGACAAAGAGATGAATGATGGCACAGTTTCCATTCGAACTCGCGAAGCAAGACAAGAGAACAAACTTACAAAGGAACAGCTGCTGACTCTATTCAACAAAAAGGCTAGTGAGTAATTGCTTCTGCGGGCTTTAAATTCGAAATTATTCCTTTTCATCGCCCTCGTCGCTCTCGGGCTCGTGATACATAGCGTCCTCCAAAACTGTCTTTTCTATAAGTTTGAGAGTCGCACGAAGAGGTAAACCCACAACGTTGAAATAATCACCGTCCATGCGTTCTATGAATAACGATCCACGACCTTGAATACTGTAGCCGCCAGCGGCATCTCTGCCTTCTCCTGTGTAAATGTACGCCTCAAGGAACTCATCAGAGACTTCCTTGTCGAACACGATGTCTGTTTGTTCAACATGTGTGTTCATTACGTACCCAGGCTGCACAGGCACCTCCGTCGGAGCAATGCACACCACCGCGGTGAACACGCTGTGGGGCAGCGGACTGTCTCGTATAAGCTTGAGCATTTCTAGTTGATGCGCACTAGATGTTGGCTTTTCAAGGACCGTCTGGGCAGCAAGCACAATAGTATCACCTGCGATAACAACAACATCGCGCTCGTCGCCCCCCTGGGCCTGCTCCTCGAGGATCTTCTGGTACACTCGCTGCGCCTTCTCGGTGGCAGTTAATCGGACATACTCAAATGGAGACATAGAAGATTTGTCTAAATCTTCTTCAAAATCGCTTGGAACAACTTCTATGTCTTCGAACCCGATCTGTTTCATGAGCTCTAGACGTCGCGGAGAACTTGATGCAAGTACCACGCGCGTGTCGCTCAGACGTTTAAATATCGGTAGATCAAGTATACGTTCATTACCTGGGACTTTCGAGTACTTAGGCGGAGGCGAAGGCTGCTTACTAGATCCAGCAGATCCAAAAAATGAAAGCATTAGTAAATTTAATTAATGACTAGGCGCAGTCGATTGCGAACAAGCCCAGAAAGCCAGATCTTTCTCCCTTAGTAACGTTTGTACCACCTTCACTTTTACCACCACCACTTCAACAGCTAACGAGGTTTCAGTTAGCGATGAACCAACAAAAGCAAGATGACGTACTAGACCCTGCTGTAATTGAAATGCAAAAGTACACTACCAGTGCTCTTATAGTACCTAGTGTGGATGAGCCGGTAGCAGTGCTTCTTCGGGACGGTAGAAGCATCAACGGTACAATGAGATCTTTCGATCAGTTCGGCAACGTTGTATTGCAGGACGCTATAGAAAGAATTTATGCAAACGGAAAAGTAGCTGAGCGCAAGCTGGGCGTGTTTTTAGTGAGAGGAGAGAATATCAGTGTAATTGGAGAAATAGACATCGACAGAGAAGTTGATCCAGAACTTTCAAGCTGGGATGAGGTAAAGCCATTGTTTGATCAAATAAGGGAACACGAGAATGAAATAGAGCGTTCAAAGCAGATAAAGCTGGCCGCTGCTGGATTTAGCACCGATCAAAATACTATCGATATACATTAATATAAAATCATATTACCATACTCTCTGTCTATCTTATCTAAAGGCGAATGCAGAAGTAATTACAAATGCTGTTTAAAGACTCGATATCAACTGCTCATTTCAGATTTCACTTCCCGTATTGACTTTGATTTCTTTGATTTCTTTAATTTCTTCGTCTTTTTGAGTTTTTCTTTGTCATCATTATGTGATCTAGATTTCTTACTGATCTTCGAATCTTCTGATCTGGATTTTGAATGCTTAGACTTTTTGGACTTCTTCGATTCCTTAGATTTCTTAGATTCAATTGATTCAATTATTTTCCTGCTATGTTCGAGTTTTTTCACCTTTTCAGCTCTCTTCGACGCTTTCGATCGTTTCGGTTTGTTTGTTTCCTCTAACTGCTTCAAGTCTTTAGCTTCATCATATTGTATATCCGACTTCACAGTTCCTAAAAGTCTCTCTCCTAACACAAAATTTCTATATAACGGTGACCTGAATCGAGTGATCTCTTTAAACACCTTCTCATCCTTTACAATACTTTCTCCATTAGATGTAATACTCTTAAGTTGACTATCAAACAACGTTTCCCACCAATGATCATGTGTATGCTTCTTGTTGCCTAAACCCCTGGTATCTGTTTTATGGGCAACTAATATAGGTTTTTTCAATCCTCTACTTCGCAGACCTTGACCCGGTTTCCATCCATATTGTTGCAGATATGCTTGAGGATCCATATATCTGCTGATATAATGGAGTTACTAAAGAGGAAATTCTAAAGAGGTAGTGTTGAATTATATCGCAAAGGCTGTCAAATTTCAAAAATTAAACGTTTAGTATGTTAATGCTACGCTGTAAACATAAAGCACTTGTTCCTTACACACTGTGTTGAATGGGCGTATAGTGTAGTTGGTTATCGCGCTCCCTTCGCATGGGAGAGGTCCCCGGTTCGATTCCGGGTTCGTCCATTTTTTTTGTACAAGTATTTTCAGGTGTCGTTGGTGCTGATTTTTACAAGGTTTCTCTCTTTAGATTTTATATTATTAAAATTTAGTCAATTTTCGTCGGTTTACATAACAGTTACTTACCAAAAGCGATGTTAGAAGGAGCAGGAGGTGTAGGATCAAGAGAAGTGACATATGATTTAGTCATACCTCCGTCAACTACAAAGTCCTGGCCTATAATGAAGGAAGCATCATCAGAAGCTAAAAATACCACAGCCTTGGCTTGTTCGATGGCCTCACCAAAACGGCCTGTAGGGAAATGAACAGTTCGGCGTAATTTCTTCTCTTCGGTGTCTAAGAAAGCCTGGAGCAGTGGAGTATTTAAGGGAGCGGGGCAGAGTGAATTGATACGGATGCCACTCTTAGCATACTGAATAGCCAACTCACGAGTCAATGCCATCACAGCTCCCTTTGACGCGGTGTAGGCGATCTGAGGAGTAGCAGAACCGACAATAGCAACCACAGATGCAGTGTTGATAATGGCCGCCTTTGTCTTCTTGTTCTCAAGCATAGACTTAATTGCATATTTCGATCCATAAGCTACACCACGGACATTGATAGCAAAAGTCAAATCCCAAATACGTTCAGGAGTGTTCAGGATGCCATCATCTTCCGGATGCATAATTCCAGCGTTGTTGAACATTACATCGACACCGCCGTATTTCTCCAAAGAAGCAACAAGTTCTTCAACTTCAGCTTCTTTGGAAACATCGCAAGGCTTGCCTTCAATGCGCACGCCATCAGCAGCGTGTTCCTTCACAATGGTGACGGCTTTCTCTAGAGCGCTAGCGTTAACATCAGTCATGAGAACATTTGCGCCTTCAATTGCGAACTGGATGGACGTCTCCAGACCAACTCCGCCGGCAGCACCTGTGATGATCGTATTCTTTCCTTCAAGTCTTCCCATTATCGAGCAGATTTTATCTTATGGCTTAAGAGAGGATAGCAGTTGCAATGTTTTGTGTTAGGATATATACATGGCTTGATAAACTTACACCATATAAGGTTCGCATAACTATTTAGAGTTTCCACGATAAGTCATTTAGGCGAGAGGACTAGCGAGCACATTGTACTGGACAGATTCGTGCGGAGACATAGAATGTATAAGAATATATATATGGTATAAATAACACAGCGTATTAGTTAAGGTGTTTCTACAAATCATTAGCTGCCTTTTGAAAGACACTTATTCTTTCATATAGTTAACTGTCGCCTAGCGCGGAAGAAAGCTTAATTGCGTAATATAATCTATCCGACGTCTAAGAGCCAGAAACGCGAGTGCCCTTTTTACAGCTCAATTTGGCGAAAGTATCGCCATAATTTTGTTGAACGTCAAAGTAAATAAAATTGCGAACCGTCTAAGAAAATAGCGCGTAACGTGATTCCGGCAGGACTAACTGGTTAAGGTTCGTTCCTTTTTTCGTACTTTCAAACTTACACTTTGACTACCGCATCTGAAGGAACTATGAAAGATTGGACTGCTATTCTTGCTGATGACGATTGCGTCAAACTTTCAGGAATTGACGTCGATGGAATTCTTAGAGGTAAACTAATCTCAAAGAAAAAGTTCCTTTCGGTTGCCGAAACCGGATTTGGCTTCTGCTCTGTCATCTTTGGCTGGGATATGCATGATCGTACGTACAATAGATCTACAAATGTAACTGATGAAGCTGGCGGATTTGGCGATTTGCATGCTGTAATTGACCTTGAAAGCTTTACCAGAATTCCATGGGAAAACAATGTCCCTTTTTTCTACGTGTACTTCTATAATCCTGACCAAACCGTCTTGGCCCCCTGCCCGCGATCGCTTCTCAGAGACGTATCCAAATTGGCCGCTGACATGGGTTATACTCCCATGGCAGGATCAGAGCTCGAGTTCTACCACTACAAGGAAACCGGCGCTTCGGTAATTGAGAAAAACGGAAAGAACCTCACTCCCATGACTGCTGGTATGTTTGGCTACTCTGTACAACGCCCCGTCCTCAACAAGGAATACTACTACGATGTATGGAATTCCGCGAACGCCATGGACGTGAATATTGAAGGTTGGCACTGCGAGTCCGGTCCTGGTGTTTATGAGGCTGCAATTACGTATGCAGAAGCTCTCAAAGTCGCAGATCGAACCTCCCTCTTCAAACTCACATGCAAATCAGTCGGGCCTAAATATGGTGTAATGCCTTGTTTTATGGCTAAACCACACCATGGTCTCCCAGGAAACTCCGGACATCTTCATCTTTCTCTTTTAGATAGCACTGGCAAAAACATTCTCTGCAGAGATGAACCCGACCCGAATCCTAAATATCCTGATACAGCTTACCTCACAGAGGAAGGCAAGCACTTCCTTGCAGGCATACTAGCAGGACTGAAAGACATAATGCCCATTCTTGCACCTAACATCAATTCTTACAAACGTCTAATCGAACACTATTGGGCTCCTGTGACCGTCTCCTGGGGCTATGAACACAGAATCGCTTCAGTTCGTTTTATCAGCCCTCCCTCGTGTCCTCCGAAAGGGACCCGCTTTGAGGTTCGTACACCTGGTGCTGATGTGAACACACATTTTGCGCTTGCTGCTTTATTCGCCCTTGGAATCAGAGGTATTAAGCTCAAACTACCTTTAACTGTTCCTCCTATGGGCGCTATTGACGACCACTCTACAATCGATAGACTACCCAAATCTCTCAGAACCGCTACAGAAGCTTTCATGAGCCCAACGAGCTTAGCTCGCGAAGTTCTGGGCAATGAATTTGTCGATCATTTCGGTAAAACAAGGCTTGAAGAATGTGATCTATGGGATGATGCCGTCACGGACTGGGAAGTCACTCGATACATTGAAACTGCTTAATGCCTGATCATTTCATCATTATTTACAATTACTTAGCTCATGTATGATAAAACAGATTCATTATCTATTGCGTCTAATTCACTTACATCAAGCATCTATAAGGATAAAAGCTTCTGCTGTCCTCTCGTATAAGATGTGTACAAGAAGTCTTCGCTTAGTTCTCGTCCATGGTAACATCACCATCAGCATCAACAGCTCCTTCGGCCTTTTCCTTACCGTCGTTAGCATTCGCTGACTCCTTAGAAGCAGCAGCGTCAGCAGAGGCAGAAGCAGAGGCAGCGGCGGCGGCAGCAGCGGCAGCGGCGGCAGCTTCTTCTCGAGCTCTTCGTTCAGCCTCAGCAGCTTCACGAACCTTACGTTCTTCTTCTTCCTTGGCACGTCTTTCCGCTTCTTGTTTCTCCAAATAACGTCCCTTAATAATATTTCCAACAGACAAAAGTTCCTCGTGCTTAGCAATGTATTGCGCCTTGCTAGCATCTTCACCTTCATCATAAAGCCATTCCTCAGCAGCATTAAGCATATCGTGCATTTTAGACTTCTCTTCATCAGAAGCAAACTCAGAATATAAGTCATCAAGCTTGCCTCTCATGTCATAAATGTACTCTTCCAATGCATTCTTGCGGTTTTCAGTGTCTGCAACGTGCTTGTCTTCCATGGCCATCTGGTTTTCTAGTTCAATGTACTTCTCCTTCACTGAAGACTCCAGAGCAGTGGTACCATGAATAATGGAGAGCTCGGCCTTTTTGACAATTTTCTTGACTTTTTTAACTTTTCCAGTTTCACCGTCTTTGGCCTTCTCCTTGTCGTTCTCCTCAGCCGATTGTTCGACAGGTTCTTCAACAATTTGCTCTTCAGCAATGTAAGCATTCTCCACAGTGTAAATACCGGAATAATCAGCACGGAAGCGAAGTTTGACCATGGCAGGTTCATCACCATCAGCCTTTACTCCCTTTATAGTCCATTGACCAATCCAAGGTAAAACTCCGCCGGGGAGCTCAGACGTGTATTTGGCCTGAACGCTAAAGTCCTCTTTTCGGTACAAAGTAACAATCTTAGTGCTAGGGAGAACATTACCAGCGGGAAATACTTGTAATTCATTCTCATCTTCACCCTCAACAGGATCCCAGAAGTAATCAACCGAATATTGAGTAATATCCTCATATTTGAAAGGACGAACACGCATCGTGGGAGAGTGCATAGCACAGACGAATGCACATCCACGGGCAATGGCTTCATCTTGATTTAAAGTGAAGGAAAGCGGCTTATTGAAGAATTCACTTAATTTTTCCTTAACAGCAGGAATGCGAGAGGTACCACCGATAACCTCTACGGTAGCAATGTCATCTAACGAGATGTTGGCCTGGTCCAAAGCAGCTTTAATGGTGGGTTCCATGCGGGCGATCAAAGGAGCGATCAGTTCCTCGTACTCCTCGCGTTTCAACATTCCCCTTACGTCCTTGTCATCCATCACCGATTCTATGTTGATGGGAGCCTGAGCGTTGGCGGACAAGACTTTCTTGAGGCGCTCAACAGCAGTTAGGACACGAGAGAAGGCTTTGGGGTTGGCAAAAATATCGATCTTGAAATTCTCCTTGAATTCCTGCGCAAAGTGGTTAACGAGAGCGTAGTCGATTTCCCGTCCGCCAAATTTGCGATCAGAAGCTGAACCGAGGATCTTGAGTTCGCCCTTTTGGACCGAAGCGATTGAGACAGAGAAGCTAGAGTGACCAACATCCACAAATGCAACTTTCTTAGGCTCCTCGGTTAAATCGGTTTTGAAAACTCCGTAAGAAACGGCAGCAGCGGTGACCTCGTTAATGATACGGACAGGGTTTAAGCCTGCGATGTGGGCAGCGTCGATAAGAGCGCGACGCTGGGCGTCAGTGTGCCAAAGAGGCACGGATATGACAACATCGGCTACAGTCGATTTGGTCTCTTCCTGGACAGTTTGCTTCATTTTGGTCAAGTACATTGCGACCAACTGGGTAGCAGTAAAAACCTGTTCATTTCCTTGGTATCGAACTTTGACGCCTACACCACCACCAGGTACTTCGACGAGGGGAGCACCAATGAAACGCGATTCGTCCTGAACTTCGGGATCATTATATTGGCGGCCCAA